TGCCAATAAGGGCTTGCCAAAGACTCCAAACAGCATCTCTATCTGCCACGGACACTTCAAGCACTATTATCAGCCAGATCATATGGCCCAAGTGATAGAGCCACTTGTACGGCAGCCTGAACCTGTTGCAGAGCCTTCTCTTGGTCTGGGCCCCACTCAAAACTAGCAGCTTTTCAAGTCACTTGATAAACAGGCCTGAGTAGCACACCCAAAGGAGGAATATGTTGCCTCCAAAATCCATAGAGTCCCACTAGGTGTTGTGCCTCCTTTTTAGCTGTGGGAGGGACCAGATACAATAACTTACCCTTAACTTTAGAAAGAGTATCTCGACATGCCCCACACCACTGAATCCCTAGAAATTTCAGTGAGGTGGAAGGTGCCTGAACTTTTGTCAGATTAATTTCCCACCCTCTAGCATTTAAATGTTTCACCAGTAACTCCAGACTCACTGACATTTCTTCCTTACCAGGTCCAATCAGTATAATGTCATCAATGTAATGGACCAGTGTGATGTGACATCTTGAAGACAGGGAAAGGGATCAAGGTCCCAATGGACTGAATTATGCCATACAGCTGGTGAGCTGATATGCCCTGAGGTAGGACACCGAAGGTGTATTTGTTGGCCTTGCCAGCTGAAGGCAAACTGCTTCTGGTGGTCCTTCAAAACAGGTATGGCGAAAAAGGTATTAGCCAGATCAACAGCTGCATACCAGGTACCAGGAGATATATTAATTTCCTCAAGCAATGAAACGATATCTGGGAACAGTAGCCGCAACTGGAGTCACCAACTGGTTAAGTTTTCGATAATCTACTGGCATTCTCCAAGAGCCACCTGTTTTTTGCACAGGCCAAATAGGCAAGTTGAATGGGGATGTGGTGGAAATCATCACCCCTGCATCCTTCAAGTCCTTGATGGCGACAGCAATCTCTGCACTCCCTCCAGGAATGCGGTATTGCTTTCCGTTTACTATTTCCTAGGTAGGAGCAGTTCTAATGGCTTCCCCTTAGTTTTTCCCACATAATAGCCCTTACTCCATTTGTCAGAGATCCAATGTAGGGGTTCTGCCAGTCGCTGAATATACCTATTCCAATGATGCATTCTGGAACTGGGGAAATCACTACAGGATGGGTTCAGGGACCCAGTGGACGTACTGTGAGACAGACATAAGCTAAGACTCCATTAATAACTTGACTTCCATATGCTCCCACTCTGACTGGTGGGCCACAGTGATGTTTTGGCTCTTCTGGAATTAGTGTTAGTGCAGAGCCAATATCCAGTAATTCCCCTAAAAGTCTGATTATTTCCTTTTCCCCAATGAACAGTCACTCTAGTAAAAGGCCATAGATCCCTTTGGGGAAGGATGGGAGAAAGATAAACAGTATAAATTTCTGGCAGTGTAGTGAGGTCCTTCCTCAAAGGGGCCTGGCCTCCCCCTCATTCAAGGGGTTGTGGGTCTTTAAACTCGCTCAAGTCTAGGAATTGATTGAGGGGCCGTGACTCTCTACTCTGATGATTTGAGTTATACTGCTGTTCACTTGACCTAGAATTCATCCACTTGTACAGATCAAGTAAATATTTAGATTTCCTATCCATTTCACTCCTAGGGACACCACGACTAAGTAGCCAACGAGTCATAGTCCATAGGAGTCAGACTATTCTGATTACTACTTTGACTCCACTGTCCATTATGGTAACCACACCCATCTTGTCTTTGTCCACTGAGTGCCGCCACTTGGCCCCTACTACCACAGATGTCCAATCAGCCCCGCTGTAGTTAGGTGTCTTAATTCAGTTAGAGCAGTTCCCACTGTCAAATCTGACTTACATAAAATAGCACTCACAGCGGTCTTCAAGGATGCTGGGGCTCCCTTCACAAATTTGTTCCTCACCATTGTGGTAAAAGGTGTGTCCTCTGGATACTCCATGTGTGGGTCTGTGGGTCTAACCTAATAAATCTACTGTAGCATCCCAATTTCCGTAAGCCGCTGGTTACTTTCTTCTACAGTATACCAAGGCAGGTCTGATACTTCAACTTGATTTAGCATAGGTCACCACGTAATCCATGCTTTAATGACCCACCAAATAAACTATTAGATCCTTTCCTAACCTCTCAAGCTGAAACACTGAATGAAGAATCTGTGCTTAGTGGGCCCATATCAATAAACTCAAACTGATTCATCTTTATGTTCCTTGCACCATTATCCTACACCCTTAATAGCCATTCCCACACATATTCCCCAGGTTTCTGTTTGTACATATTAGAAAAATCAAGCAGTTCCTTTGGAGTGTAGTGTACCTCCTCCTGGATCTCACTTTGTACTTCACCTTTTGGAGCTCACTAGGATTTTGTCTAGTTATATGTCTAGAAGCCAAAATTGGTGATGGGGATGTGTTTTGAGAACATTCAGCAATGTCTTGTAAGGCATCTGCCTCAAGCGATGCCCCAAGCAATGACTCGATGAAGGTTCTTTAGACACAGCTGGGTTAACCTCATCAGATAGGGGTGGAGTGGCTAATGGTTTTACTGGGGAGGGTGGCTTAGCCAACAAACATGGAGTAACCTCTTCAGATGGGAGAGGGCTGGTTTTGTTGGTAGGAGTGACTCAATGGAATTTAGAGGCTTAGTGCCTCCCGCTTCCTGATTATCTGCCCATATGTCCCCATCTCAAGTTTCAGGATCCCACTGCTTCCCAATAAGCGCCCTCCCTTTAACATCAGACACCACTCAAGGTTGGGAATTGAGCTAGCATTGTAATTCAGCCACACTTACAGTAAGACTCTGGGTTTGGTTTTCAGCAATATCAGCTCTATTACTACAAGAACTAAGGCTTACTTTCAAAGCACAAACGGAAACTTTGAGGTCATTTATGCGGTGCTTGAGCTCTGACTCTGAAGCCCTGAGCTCATCTCTTTCTTTCACCACTTAGCTTAGTGAAAGTAGGACCAACCAACCAGCATCCTTACACTTCTCATTATGACAAAATTATAGAAAGGTATGAAACATACAATCACCCAGAGCCTCGCCTTTCATCAATACCTGATCTACTGGTGGTGACATTTTGCATATTTGAATCGCCACCTCACGCTATGGATTAGCAGTGTCCTCTTTACTACCGGAAACAGTCATCAACATCTTTAAAACTAAAAAGACTTGAGAACCAATTTAGAAAACTCATTCTTAGAATTTTGTTTCTCTAGAACCACTCTCAGTACCAAATGTCTTAGGTTTGGTTCTCTAGAGAAGCAAAACCAGTAAAACATATAAATATATATAGAGAGAGATTTATATCAAGGAAATGGCTCATATGATTATAGAGGCTGGAATGTCTCAAGTCCATGGGTCAGGACAGAGGCCTTTCCTGATTCATGTAGAGGCAGGGGCTAATGAACCCATGATCGGCAGGACAGACAGCAGGGCTCTTGCTCGCAGGCTGTGAAGACCAACGAATCCCAAGATAGGCAGGCAAGATGGCAGGTAAGCTGCTAGCTCAAGTCCCAAGAACTGGAGGTCAGACCAACAGGAGCCAGCTACAGGATCCAGAGTGAGCAAAAAGCACATGAGCCTTGCCAGAAAGTCCACTTATATTCGGTGCAGGCCACACCCCCAAGGAAACTCCCTTTCACCTGACTGGCTACTCAGAGCAGATCCCATCATGGAGATGATCACATTATATCAAATCTCATCATGGAAGTGATCACATCATCATACAACTGCCAAACTACATAACTGCCAAACCACTGAGAATCATGGCCCAGCCAAATTGACACACAGTCTTAACAATCACACCAAGCAAAAGCAACAAGGTAATTATAAACTCAAAGAAAAACAAATATTTACAAGAAAGGCAATGAATCATAGTACAAACATGGCTCAGCCTAAACAATGTTTGTACAGTCAAAATAATTAACCCTGAATACTAATTTAATCCCAAACGTATGCTGGGAGGATGACGGGAAAGAAAGTCGGTGTGTACTTAAGAGAACTAAATCCTCATTTTCCATAGTAGGAAGTCAACAGGCAATTTCTAAAATTGATAATCAAGAAACTGCTGCATTAGATATTACTTAGAAATATGAAGGTAAACAGAAAAAAAAGTTAAGAGTTGAAAGTGGCTCTGCCTCTTGGGAACAGAAATGGTGGGTGGGAAGATACAGGTGCAAGGAATTGCTGTTTTTCATAATAATCCATGTTATGTCTAGGAAAAATAACACACTTTCTAAATTAAAAAATAAAGTATAATTTTCAGAAACTTGAGAAACAATCTGTGCCTCAGTTTAGTTATCTATAAAGTGGGAATAATGTAATCACCCCAGATGGCTGACGTTAGAATTAAATAAAACATAGGTACAGTGTACCTGGCACAGAGCCTGCTATATTCCTTCTTTCCTCTCCATCCCCAGCCCCAAAATAGAATTAAGGCCTATCTCCACAAAAGACCTTGCCTTCTGGTACCATTACAACTCCTGAAGCCCTGCACCACTGTTGGAGGAAGCCAACACCTTTTCCTCATTACTTAGCAGGAAACTTAGAACAGCCAGGCTTTAAGCAAAGGCATCTAAGACAGGTTATGGGCTGATCAAGATGCTAGCTAAGTGTTTCCTGAGAAGCTGTTTCCAGATGTGGGATGCTGGCCCAGCTCGCCTTGCCCTCCTGACCTTTGTATAACACACTGGACCTTGTCTCTGCCCACCGTGCTCACTCGGCCTCACTCATTCAGACTTAAACTCTGGATGCCAGCTCTTGCCCACTTTTGAAGCCCAAATCATACGCATGAGCCCCAGATCAGTTGACTCTGTAGCCCCTGCTCTCTGGGTTCAGGGTGACTAGAATTTTCCATATGCTCTAACCTCTGACAGCTCCTAGGACAAGGGCCACAGAACCAGACCTACAGATGCTGAGAAGTTCCTGAGAGGATTGAGAGAAAAACAGACACCTTCCACACTCTCACATGGGGAAGATGAGCTGGCCTGGAACTGACTCCGATTTTTCAGCTCTTACTTGTTCAGCCGGATGGCATACTCCTTCAAGGCAAACACGTTGTCAGCAAAGACAATAATTTTGTCATTCCTCCTTTCATGAAACTTGATCAGAAACTGGCAAGCTCTGAATTTATTGGGGTTCATGGTGTACAGCAAGATTCGCTTCTTGGTTTTGATTGCCACATACTCTCGATAAAACTCAGGAGACATCGGGCACCAGACCTGCGATAAAAGAAGAATCAGGAGTCATTTTGCAAGCGTAAATATCTCATGATAGGAAACTTTCAAAGACCTTTCAGTTAGCAGAATTAGCTTTAAAACAAAACAACTAATAGTATGTGAATTCGCTCTCAATGAAACTGTAAACATACATTCACAGACAAATATGCACGTATTTGTAAAACACACACCCAACAAAACAAAGCATAACAAAACCTAACGAAATACCTCATGCTGAATCAGGACACTTCACATGTGAATCACTTCAAAGTCACCCATAAAATTATTTTCACACCAGCTGCAAGTGACGGAAACCAGATTCTCAAGAGAGGTGCAAGCAGTCCCTCCTGCTTAGACCGTTTCCTCCACACACAATTATGCACTACTGAGAATTCCACCTCTCTCCACAGAAACACTTTTTGGCTCAGGGCAAAGAGCTCTTTAGTTAGGCTCTAGGGGTCATAAGTACGAAGCCAATCACTGCCAGCCTACCACTCAGCACCACTGGGTTAGTCATTCATTCATCCCTGTCCTCTAAACCCCAATTATCACCCACAAAAATCAGGACTGACAAGTCCAGAGGGTGGTAAAGAAAAATCATTTCAAATTCAGGGATATGCCAGAATAAGAAAATGGAAAAATATCTGCACATTTATTCAAAATCATGAGAAAGTACCACTGGATGGTAGGAAGCAGGAACCCAAGACATCTCATAGACAAACTCCAGATTATCAAGCCAGCCCTTGGCTGCTGCCTACAACAGCTGACCAAGTGGTGCGGGAAAGGGTGTCTACCTCTGCCACAAGGGCTGGGCTACAACACAGGCTGATGGTCCACGAGAAGTCACAGACTGTATGTTACCAAAGGCCTACTGACCTGTCCATCTTATTAATATTCCAGGACTACTGGAGCTCTTTCTAATTTTACTATCTGTTATACAAAATGAAACTTTTGTATATCCTAAAAATCATCTCAAGTTCTACTGAACAAGAGGCAGAATGACATCTAGTGGTTCTGGAACCAAGCAGTCTGCCAGGTGTGAATCCCAGCCCAGTCACTCAGGAGTGGTATGATGTTCAGCAAAGGACTAACCCTCCCTCTGCCCTGGTCTTTTTCTCTGTAGAACGGGGATGCTGGCAGGGAAAGGAGTAACACACTCCTTCCCCTAGAACAGTGCAGGCACTGCGGAAGGCTCCCTGAATGCCTGCCCGTGGTCTGGGGTCAGACAATCCTCATTCCTCTAACGCGGCAGGCCCTTGTGCCAAAGGGCCTTTCAGCTTCTGTTTGATTTGCCTTCCCCTAGAGACCAACATGACCTATCCCTCACCCCCCCAAATCCTGGCTCAAATGGAACTCTATAAGGCCTCCTTCTTGACCATCCTATTTAAAATCTCACTCCCTGATGGAAAAATTCGGGAACAGATAAAGGTGATGGTTGAACAACATGATGAAAGTAAGTTAATGTCACTAAACTGAACATGCAAAGAATGTTGAAATGACAAGTGTTTTGTTACATATTTAGAGCAATAAAAAAATAGGAGGGGGACCCAAAAAAACTGACAATTCACCCTAAAGATGCACCTCCAACAATAAAAATTTAAAAAAAAATAACATGCACAAGGTTATTCACTGCAGCCTTGTTTGTCACTGCAAAATGCTGGAGCGACAAACCTAAACGCCTATGTATAGGAGAGAAACTTAAATGAACTACGGTACATCCACACAATGGAGTACTCTGAAGCTTTAAAGCAGAATGACAAAGACCTCTATGGAATAATATGTAGTGACTCCCAAGATACACTGTTAAGTTAAAAAAGCAAAGTGGAAAAGAGAATCTATAGTATGCTACCTTTTGTGTAAGAAAGAAGGGGAGATGAGAAAATGCTTATGCACGCATGAGCACACATACACACACGGCCGCTCATTTGTGCAAAAAGAAACACAAGAAGAATAAACAGGAACTATTAGAGCATGGCTTACAGGAAGCAGCTGGGAAGGGTTGACAGGATGGAAGATGAAAAGGGGTGGGGAAAAGAGATACTCCTCTGAGTATAATTTTGTATGGTTTCACATATTCAAATGATAATAAATAATATCAACAAAGATAGAGATGAGACCAAAATGGAATAACAAAAGAAATAAACCTGACTAAACATCAAAGGAATATCACAACCACACATAAGGAAGGGGAAGAAAAGAAGTAACCCAAGGTAACTTTTGAACACAGTATTTGGACTCTATACTCTCTGACCAGAAACAAACAGGATTGTAAACGAATACTCAATTCTGGTTGGCAGGCGTGGTTTTCACACTGGTATGGGTTAAAATCTAAACTTCCTTTATGTAGACTCGAGGATTGAGCAAATACGCAAACAGATTGTGAATAACGGAAGCCATGTTTCTGCTAGAGAAGGAAATTAGAAATATGGAAAGGTTAGAATGAAATCCGTGGTGTTGGATTATATGTTCAAATGGTGGTGGTTCAAGTCCACCCACAGGCACCTGTGAAGAAAGGCCTGGCAATCTACTTCCAAAAAATCAGTCACTGAAAACCCTACAAAGCACAGTTCTACTCTGATGCACATGGGGTAGCCATGAGTCAGTCGACCTGATGGTAACTGGTCAGCATTGAGCAAATAAGTGAATATGTTTTTGAGTAATAGGAGCCAAGTTTCTCACGTTAAAGAAAGAAATTACAAACATGGAGACGTTAGAATGAAATCTGTAGTACTGAATTCTATTGGAGTTATCACCATGAACTCATGGCTGTAACATGTGCAGACACATGAAGAAATATATATAGTGGGGTGTGTGTGTACACACATGCACACGAAGGTGCTTCAAAAGGTTGATGATTCAAGTCCACTCAAGGCAACTGAGAAGAAAGACCGGGCAATCTACTTCCAAAAATATCATCCATTGAAAACCCTATGGAGCACAATCCTACTGTGACAAACACAGTGTCGCCATGAGTTAGAATGAACTCTATGGCAACTGGTTTTTTAACTGGTGTATATACACATGTACGTGTACACACACACACACACACACACTCCTAACTTTGTCCGCTGAGTTAACCTAGCAGTGACATCGTGGTAGTGATGAGCACCCCTAGCACACAGATCTTGGTTTTTAAATTCCATTCTCTACTAAAAGAAACCAAGGTTCCTTGAAGAAATGACAGAATCCAAGGCTGGGACAAGGAAAGCACGGAATATACTGCTGTACCAGAAGGCAAGAAAATGTTCAAAGAATGATGGGGACTTATTAAAAAGACATAGGAAACAGTTTGTGTATAAATTTTTGAATGAGAAACTAATTCACACTGCAAACTTTCACCTGAAGCACACACACACACACAAAAAAGACACAGGAGTTACCTGGAAGGGGCTCACAATGGTCAAATATGAGACAAGCTGAGTATCCCAAAAACGATGATAGTAACCTTTCTGAGGGCCTCTTTGAAGTTTCTAGCTCTTTATAGACAAAGCAACCCTTTTTCACAGTAAAAACTTTAAAATCCTGCATTTCACAGAACATAAAACAGAAATGGCCCATTATGTTGTTGTTAGGTGCCATGAAGTTGTTTCCGACTCATGGTGGCCCCACGTATCTACATATACCAGAACAAAACACTGCCTCCTCACAACCGTTGCTATGTTTGAGCCCACTGTTGCAGCCACTGTGTCAATCCATCTCATTAAGGGTCTTCCTCTTTTTCAATGACCCTCTAGTTTACCAAGCATTATGTCCTCCTCCAGGGACTGGTCCCTCCTGATAACATGTCAAAGTACGTGAGACAAAGTCTCACCATCCTCGCTTCTAACAAGCATTCTGGCTATACTTCTTCCAAGGCAGATTTGTTCATTCTTCTGGCAGTCCATGGTATATTCAACACTCTTCGCCAACACCATAATTCAAACGCATCAATTCTTCTTTGGTCTTCCTTATTTATTATCCAGCTTTCCTATGCATATGAGGCAACTGAAAATACCATGGTTTGGGTCAAGCACACCTTAGATCAAGTGTCTCTGAACACTTTAAAGAGGTCTTTTGCAGCAGATTTGCCCAACTGCAATGTGTCGTTTGATTTCTTGACTGCTGCTTTCACTGGCGTTGACTGTGGATCCAAGTAAAATGAAATCCTTCACAACTTCAATACTTCCTCTGTTTATCATGATGTTTCTTACTGGTCTAGCTGTGAGGATTTTTGTTTTCTTTATGTTAAGGTGTAATCCATACTGACGGCTGTAGTCTTTGACCTTCATCAGTAAGAGCTTCAAGTCCTCTTTGCTTTCAGCACGCAAGGCTGGGTAATCTGCATATCACAGGTTGTTAATAAGTCTTCCTCCAATCCTGATGCCACGTTCGTCTTCATATAGTCCAGCTTCTCAGATTATTTGCTCACTGTACAGACTGAGTAAGTATGGTGAAAGGATGTTTCAAGATCAACGACATACTCATTGGAAATACCTTTTTTTTCAACAGCATGAACGGTGACTATATACGTAGACTTCATTGGATGGAATACATGGGAATCAAATCAACTACCTCTATGGAAAGAGACAACAGAGAGGCTCAATACCACCAGTCAGAATAAGAACAGGAGGCCAGCTATGGAACAAACCACCAACTGCTCCTATGCAAGTTCAAGCTGAAGCTAAAGAAAATCAAACAAGTCCACAAAAGTCAAAATACGACCTTGAGTATATCCCATCTGAATTTAGAGACCATCTCAAATGGCCTATAAGCATATGAAAAGATGCTCAATTTCATTAGTAATCAGGAAAATTAAATTTAGACCATAAAAAGATACCATTTCACATCTACAACATTTGCAAAAATTAAAAGGAAAAAACCCATTCTATAGTAGGTGCTAGAAGAGATGTGAAGCAACCCCCTTGTCCCTGGGGAGAGTGTTAACTGGTACAACCACTGTGGAGAACAGCTCGGTGTGCCTAGGAAAGGGAACCTCTGCATCTCCTTCAACTCAGCAGTTCCAC